TTATAATATGGGACCAATTTAGGTTCTGACGTTTAATGAAAGAGACTCGAACATTGCGGTCGTGTGCACATGCCGGTTTTTCTTAGCCATGTTTGGCCCACATTAAATTTGAGCAGTGCTTCTTGTACAGAAAAATAAGCAACATAACTTCACTAAAATAGACGCACGTGTGGGTCCCGCGCCTGTTTTTTTTTTTAAACACGGTGGGGCCCACAGTTTGTGTGTATTTTGGCCAATTTCTGTTGCTGCTTATTCTGTACAAGGGGAATAAACCATTAAATTTTAGTTCATTTTTCTCTTTCCTCTTGTCAACAACACATTCTCTCAATAAAATAATATTACAAATAAATTTTAAAAAAATTCATATTTTTTAATTACACATTTTTCAAAAAATACTATTTCAAAATTAATTTTTTTTTTCAAATAATGGAGCTCAATAATAATTGAACGGACATATTTTCCAAGTCAAAAAGTCAAATGCTTTTGGTCAAAATTCAAGGTCAAAGATTCCGCTCTTTGCATCTGATGGTTGATCAGAGAGAATTAGCGTGTTAATCCTAACCGTTCGTTCTCTTTGGAATTTTTTCTGAAGAAATGATGAGGAAAATATTTTAAAGATAAAATCATGGAGATTAACGAATAATTTCATCAATTACGGATTTCTCACAAAGATTGAAAATTTTACACGATTTCTTGAAAAACTTATTAAACCGTGAAGAAACTTACCATATACGGGTTCGGGGATGGATCCTTTCAGATGGATGCTCATTCCGTATCTCCTTCTTCATATTCGTGGGTTTTATCAGAATTCATTGCGGGAAAAGATGATCTAGTGTTCTTCTGCTCTAGAGCAGAATACGTAGTGAAGTAACGACATATTTGAATTTAAATGTGTAATAATTGGACCGACGATTTTATCCTCTATGTAGTTGGTAAAAAATGGTCAGATTTTATTTTTATTGGTCAATTGATGACAAAGTGGATGGTTTCCATCAATTTGTTGCCTAATTGCATGTACTTGAATGATTTGGGACCACGAGTGAACAAATAAAAAGTTATAGTAAAATTTACAAAGTTTTGAGAGATTTGGGATCACAAATACGTGTAATTTATACACTTTTTAAGACCGTTAAATATGGATATTTAGGGTTACTTTTGATGAATTATAACTTAGTTTTTTAATTATTTTGTTTATTATGTAAAACTCGGTGATTAAGCGTGAAATTAGAAGAAATGAACGAAAAAATTAGTAAAAATGAATGATTTTCAAAGTTTGGGAACCAAAGTACAAATATTCAATAATTGATTCTAATCACAAAACCATGATAAAAAAAATTATATGGAGTCAATTGAACCAGAATAGAATACAAAGAAAGTAAAATAATAATAATAATAATAATAATAATAATACCCCTGCACGAGCAAGGGTCCCCTTTTTGGGCATCCGAGGTCGATTTCACTTGCCCATGCATGGGCAAGCTAATGTACCATGCGTGGATATGGACACAATTTTGATAGACGGGCCAGATACAGACTCTTTTAGATTCGAAAATTGGATACTTTTTTTAACCAATTTCGTCGACTATGAGTACAAGACAATGAATGAACATCAAAGTATTTCTCTTTAGCCTCTCATACTATATCATATCATAAAAATTCATCAAGAAAAATAGGCAAATTCACATCTTTCGAGAGAGAAGATCAAACATGTCAAGAATTGAAGGCTAATTACATCAATAACTTGAAGATTTAAAGCTTGGAGTTTAAGATCAAGATTTCTTGTATTCATTCATATTTCGGAATTCTTCCGGTAATATTATAGAAATTGTGTTAGGCTTAAACCATTGTTTGCATTGCTAAGATGAAACCTAGGTTTTCATATTTTTAATTCAAATACTAGTAGTTAGTATATTCTTGACTTTCTTGATTGTTATTGCATGCTTTTTTGCATTATTTAATTTATTGGCCACCAATTAAGTAATTAGTTACTTATTATAGCGTTGGAGGTTTCATAATAGGTTAGAACTTTCTAATTTCAACACACGGGAAATAAATATCAGAAATAGCATGTATGTTGTGTATGATCTTGTTGATAATCGTGTGTATGAATGCACTATTTTACATATGAATTCGAATTAGGAATAAGATATGATCATGCTTAAATTAAGTTTAACTTATTTCAGAAGAGATAGATATAATTGAATTATCGATTATAAAGAATACATAAATATCACTAATTTCAAAGATTGATGATTGAAAATAGGAATAAAATAAGTGGATTCATAAATTCACCACATGCATTCATACCAATCAAGTTTTTAGATAATTCACGGAATAATTTAGAATAAATAATAAATCAAATCTTTTGTTAATAAATATTCGAATTTGATTACAAATTTAATTTAAAGCTTATTTCTTGTCGGATGATCAACTCATCACATTATTACTTATCAAAGATCTCATACATTTTCGGGTTTTATCCAAACAAGTTTTTGATGCCATTTTCGGGGAATAATTCAATTAATTGTAGTTTATGAG